TCTTGGAAGCGCCGTGTGCTTCACATACCTCCACATTAGTGAACTCATTCGAGAGATATAATTACCAGTTTTGCTCCGCCCGCTATCGCGCGCATGACACGGCAGGCTTTAGCGAAACTGGAGGGTCCATGGAATATCAGCATGTGGTACTCCATTAACCACCTCACTATTGAATGTGTTAGATTTTTCCCAGTTTCGCTGAAGTCCATCGAGAATACGCGTGATAACGTCTGGAGCTGACCTGGCATAATTATCTCACAACTGTAAACATCCTGCATTCTTCTTGAATTCAGATAATTTAGCGGTGAATACGATTTTCTTGCTGGTCAGATCTCTCAAAATGAAAACGAAATATGCCTATTTACATAAGTGAAGAGCTAAGGCTTATCATTTTTATTACATTCACCATTATTTAGAACCCCGAAAGGATTAGCGGTTTAATGAGTTTGGGCTTTCTTGATAGGAACGAAAGTTATCATTTGCTGAAGACTTGATTGAATTCATGCAATAGACTGCTATTAAGTAGGCTGGTCATACAATGATACAGTGTGCACGTACCACTACAAATAGAATTTGTAAGTAGGGACGCTCTAGTGTCAGCGCAAGCCACGTAACGGAATCGACGACTTTTGCGTTCTGACGCGCCTTATCAGCCTTTATCAGTTGTAACCACTTTCCATCACCTACCAACAATGTCCCCGTCCCACCCCACATGACACCTGCGAGTATGGACGCTCTAGTGTCAACGCAAGCTGCGTAACGGAATCGACGACTTTTGCGTTCTGACGCCCCTTATCAGCCCTTATCAGTTGTAACCACTTTCCATCACCTACCAACAATGTCCCCGTCCCCCCACATGACACCTGCGAGTATGGACGCTAGTGTCAACGCAAGCTGCGTAACGGAATCGACGACTTTTGCGTTCTGACGCCCCTTATCAGCCCTTATCAGTTGTAACCACTTTCCATCACCTACCAACAATGTCCCCGTCCCACCCCACATGACACCTGCGAGTATGGACGCTCTAGTGTCAACGCAAGCTGCGTAACGGAATCGACGACTTTTGCGTTCTGACGCCCCTTATCAGCCCTTATCAGTTGCTATCGCTTCCATTCATGTACCACCATTGTCCCGGGACCACCCTACATAACACTTGTAAGTATAGACGCTCTAGTACCAATATGAACGACAAAACGAAATTGGCGATGCTCGCTTTCTAGCCCCTCTTATCAGCTATTATCAGTCGTTATCAGTTCCTATCACGTACCACTTGAGTCCCCATCCCACCCCCTATAACATATGTAAGAACCATGGCGCTATCGTTGCTGTGACCCGAGCTATGAATTTCGTGACAACACACACACACACACACACACACACACACACACACACACACACACACACACACACACACACCACACACACACACACACACACACACACACACACACACACACACACACACACACACACACACACACACACACACACCACACACACACACACACACACACACACACACACACACACACACACACACACACACACACACACACACACACACACACACACACACACACACACACACACACACACACACACACACACACACACACACACACACACAACACACACACACACACGTATAAGCGCGATAGCGGGCGGAGCAAAACTATAAGAAATAAAGGCGGAGGTTATCACTGGACCAGAGATGAAGAAAGAGCTATGAAAGAAAAAAAAACGACTCAGAACCCATGAAATGAGACCCCTTCTTTGTTCGTTAATTCCTACATTGCTAAGACTCTTATCGTTGCTGCTCTCTTCAGCGGTAACGCTCTCTCTGATTACCGGCTAAAGTCAGACGGCGAGGGGTGCGCCGCTGTGAGGGTATGGCCTTTAGCCTTGGACCTTACCTGGAATACTTCTCGAGGCCTAGTCGTAGGAATTTGAGGCTACTGAAAATCGTCTCTACAGAAAGTAGTTGTTGTGCCTACATGTTATAATGAACAAGAAGCCAAGATCGGATCAAGCGAGCATCCTAGGACATGTATCTCAGGATTAACCATACCTACACTTGAATCAGAGAAGAGTCCAAATGCTCATCGTTTATGACAGAATGCAATAGCCAGCAAATATTCAAGTCCATGTGTTCTCTCCGGAAAGCTCTCTGCTTTCAATAAACGGTTTTCACAGGATCATGAAATTGGTAGCCTTTGTCGACTTGGATAGCGAGACTGAGAGCAATTTTCAAAGCTATCGAAGGACTGCTACCTACGCTCCCCCACCCCTACTCCCTCCTGCGTCTCATGCTCTCCCCTCCCCACAAAAATGATATAAAAGGTAAAAATACACATATGAAAACCGACCTATAACCGTTTTAGCCATTTCCACGGCTGCCTTAGAGGTGTCCAGATTTGGCCCGAATGTGCAAAAACCTCGCTCATCTAAAAAAAGTTTGTACAGCAGTGTCATGAAATAAGAAGTAGACCGGTTACTCTTGCCAACATGCAGAACATTTTTCGCTACTATATGAACCCTTTTTACAAGCACGATTTAGCCTCACACAAGAACGAAGGTGGCGCTGATAATTTCATTCACAGGCAGCAGTTGCGGTTCTCGGGGACGAGGGGTTGCTCATTGCTACGCCGATGGCGAAAAAAGCAGAAACTCCGCTAAGAAAACGCGAAAAGTATATTTGGCACAAGCTTGATCTCCGCACAAGGAGGGGCAGCGGATAAGACGGCGGGAGTATGAACGAGTTCTACCGCAAGTGCGTTTGGTGGCACCATGCCAATCCATGCTCCAGTCGAGTTGCTCCAGTTGTGCCGCTGCTGGCAACACAGCTCGTCCAAATCACCAACTAAACTAGTGGGCGGATCGCTTTGGGGCGGAGTCCTGCTCAGCAACCAGCGCACCTTTCGTCGTGAAAACGCCACACTCACTTCCTCGGCACCCAAGTAACTGTTTCGTGTGGCGCGTATACATACCTCCCCTATGCGCTACCTCTTTATTGTAATCGCTTCGTTTAATGCTCGGAGGGCTGCCGAGCATGCAACGGAACCCTTCTCACAAGTGCCGCCGGCTCAAGAGGGCTCATTAATAAAATGCAACTGTAGCCATATGAATCCATGTACAATAACAGACTTAGGCAACAGACCTGGAGGACTCACAGAGATCATGGCGACGTCAACAGGAAAACTTTTACTGTAGAAGTAGGAAGGCATATCAGAGAGGAACACTGGTGTGTAGTCGGCTTGACCTGCAATCTCACCAATGATTTGATATTCTTTCTGTGAAAAATCACTTACTAATAAATAAAGATAAAAAACAAATCATATCATAATGTATCCTATATACATTATATTGTGTTGTGTGTGTGTGTGTGTGTGTGTGTGTGTGTGTGTGTGTGTGTGTGTGTGTGTGTGTGTGTGTGTGTGTGTGTGTGTGTGTGTGTGTGTGTGTGTGTGTGTGTGTGTGTGTGTGTGTGTGTGTGTGTGTGTGTGTGTGTGTGTGTGTGTGTGTGTGTGTGTGTGTGTTGTGTGTGTGTGTGTGTGTGTGTGTGTGTGTGTGTGTGTGTGTGTGTGTGTGTGTGTGTGTGTGTGTGTGTGTGTGTGTGTGTGTGTGTGTGTGTGTGTGTGTGTGTGTGTGTGTGTGTGTGTGTGTGTGTGTGTGTGTGTGTGTGGTGTGTGTGTGTGTGTGTGTGTGTGTGGTGTGTGTGTGTGTGTGTGTGTGTGTGTGTGTGTGTGTGTGTGTGTGTGTGTGTGTGTGTGTGTGGTGTGTGTGTGTGTGTGTGTGTGTGTGTGTGTGTGTGTGTGTGTGTGTGTGTGTGTGTGTGTGTGTGTGTGTGGTGTGTGTGTTGTGTGTGTGTGTGTGTGTGTGTGTGTGTGTGTGTGTGTGTGTGTGTGTGTGTGTGTCACGAAATTCGTAGCTCGGGTCACAGCAACGATAGCGCCATGGTTCTTACATATGTTATAGGGGGTGGGATGGGGACTCAAGTGGTACGTGATAGGAACTGATAACGACTGATAATAGCTGATAAGAGGGGCTAGAAAGCGAGCATCGCCAAATTTCGTTTTGTCGTTCATATTGGTACTAGAGCGTCTATACTTACAAGTGTTATGTGGGGTGGTCCCGGGACATTGGTGGTACATGAATGAAAGCGATAGCAACTGATAAGGGCTGATAAGATGCTTTAGATCGCAAAAGTCGTCGATTCCGTTACCCAGCTCGCGTTGACATCAGAGCACCCACACTTGCAAGAGATATGTGGGTAAACGGGGACATTGTGGTGGTGATTTGAAATGATTGCGTCCCTGATAATGGCTTATAAGGCCCGTGTCATATGCAAGAGTCGTCAATCCCGTTACCCAACTCGGTTTGACACCAGAGCATCGATGCTTACAAGTGTTATGAGGGGTGGGACGGGAACATTATTGGTGGGTGATTGGAACTGATTGCAGCTGATACAGGCTGATAAGGCGCCTCAGAACGCAAAAGTCGTCGATTCCGTTACCCAGCTCGCTTTGACACCAGAGCATCCATGCTTACAAGTGTTATGAGGGGTGGGACGGGAACATTGTTGGTGGGTGATTGAAACTGATTGCAGCTGATAACAGGCTGATAAGGCGCCTCAGAACGCAAAAGTCGTCGATTCCGTTACCCAGCTCGCTTTGACACCAGAGCATCCATGCTTACAAGTGTTATGAGGGTGGGACGGGAACATTGTTGGTGGGTGATTGGAACTGATTGCAATAGATAATGGCTGATAAGGCGGGCAGAATGCAAAAGTCGCCAATTGCGTCACGTAACTGGCGTTGTCATTAGAGCGTCCCTACTTACGAATTCTATTTGTAGTGGTGCGTGCACATTGTATCGATATGGTCAGCTTAGTTTATAGAAATCGTCTGCATAAACGCAAAAAAGTGTTTAGCAAATGATAAGTATCTCTTATGCTTTATCAAGAAAGCCCAAACTCATTAGACCGCTAATCCTTTCGGGGTTCTAAATAATGGTGAGTGTAAACAAATGATAAGCATTAATTCCTCACTCATGTAAACAGGCATACTTCTTTTTCACTTCTGAGACTGACAGCAAGAAAATCGTATTCACCGCTAAATTATCTGAATTCAAGAAAAATGCTGGGTGTTTACAGTTGTGAGATATACATGTACACCAGTTCAGTTCCAGACGTTATCACGCGTATTCTCGATGGACTTCAGCGAAACTGGGCAAGGTCAATAGTAAGGTGGTTAATGGAATACCTCATAGTAATATTCCATGGGTCCTCCACTTTCGCCAGAGCCTCCCGTGTGATGCGCGCGAAAGCGGGCGAAGTAAAACTGGTGTTAGATCATGGAATCAAAATAGTCGTCTCTTCCACGAGTATTAGAACCAGCAAGGGAAAAAAGGATTAAGCACTTCGAGCCTATCAAATCAATGTTTGGGATGCGCCGCGCATTCTACTTCATTTCAGAATCGCAGTGGCGGTTCGAATGCGATTAAGCACTCCCAATGATTTGCGGGGGTCAGCCAACGTGCAAGTTGGAGGCTTTATTCTGCTAGGCAAGTCTGGACCAGTTAACCGACTCTAAAAGGATTGGAGGCCAGGTTCGGATGGACGACGCACGATCCAAGATTCGATCCGCGGACCGCGCGTATGGTAATCAGGGCCACTGGCCACTACACTACTTCCGCCAAAAACTGTACTTCGGAAAAATAACTTAACGGGGTTTGGCACAGCTCTTCCTAAACTCTGGACCAGACCATTTTGCAGCTGTCCTGCCATGTCAATCAATAAGGGCATTAATGTTGCAGCTCAAAGACGTCAAAAAATTGTTGCTGTAAAACACTACATATCGCGGTTGAGCATTCCAGCTTAAAAACCTCGGTAGAAACGGTAAAGGTGAGCAATGACTGAGGTTTAGAGAGCGTCTCTAAAATGAGCGCAACTCCACACCTTAGCTGCCTTCATAGTTAGCGCGTGCGGTCGGCGCTGACGGTGCCAACAGTACGAACAGCGTCAGTACACGCTCTGGCGCACGACGCGTATTTGGCGCACGGTTGGCGCCTTCCAATTGATAATGCTAATTTCAGTGTATTCCCTCCATTTTTAAGCCGTTTCGCTTTCATTCGTGTCTTTTCTGCTTACTTAATTCTTCTTTTTTGTTTTGATTATTACTTTACAGTTGTTTCTCGGACGAGTGACGTCATACAGCTTTATGAAATCGTGAAATGCAATGGAGTGAAATGTGAAATGTGAAATATTAAATAAGACAAAAAGAAGAAGTCTGCCAGAAAAACATGAATGGACGCAAGACGGTCTCACAAAACATCGGAAAATAGAAGAAATGCACCCAAATGAGGATTATCGATTGAAAGCGCCGAATGCGCGCCAAGTACTCATGCGCCAGGGCGCGTACTGACGCTTTTCGCACTGTCGGTACCGTCGACCCCGTCCGCACCGACCGCGCCGGCGCAAATTGTGAAAGCAGCGTTATTGTTAGACGGAACGCGTTTACCCGCGAATGGGCACTCGGTGAGCCTGAATCGAAAAATTCCGATCAACTCACTACATATCATTGGACCCACACAATATTTCGGTATTCCCCACAGTTAATGCTGAGTGATAAGGGTAAAGTATAGCCCCAGCGTGTGACCCTTACAAGGGAGGTCTTTCAGGGCAAGGTGCGCTTTTTCAAAACGGTTTTGTGCATATTGTAGGGACGCATGTAGGGAACGCAAAACCATGTTTCATTTTCGCTGAACGGTTTAGCAGTACCAAAAAAGAAGCATAAGGTACTGTTAAGGGTTCGATCCCCCGTGGCGACTAAATTTTGCATTTGGGTTGGCGCCTACGGTTTGGTGCCAAATCGCGCTAAATATCAAAATCAGATGTCAAATTCATCGTCAGGACCATTTTGAAGCCAACAAGTGGCCGCCAACCTTGATTGCAAAATTTAGTCGCCGCGGGGATTGAAGTCATCAGGAATATTATTCACCACCAAGAATATTCACCGGGAATTGAACCATCAAGAGTATTATTCACCACTTTTTTGGTACTACTAAAACCGTTCAGCGAAAACGAAACATGGTTTTGTGGTCCATACATGCGTCCCTACAACAAGAAACCGTTTCCAAAAAGCACCTTGCCCTGAAAGACCTCCCTTGTTAGTTGTCACCCTCGGATTCGCTCTAGATCGCTTTGTTCAATCGGTGACATATCACTGCCCCAGCTGGGAATCGCCCATCATTTCAGAAATGCACGAAACAGCGAAATTATGATTTCGTTGCCCAACTCACCTTGCTTAACCAGATTCCGTATGTTTCCACATAGAAATAGGCCATTCGAGCGTATTTTTCCTATAAATAGTATTGATTTTCACTGGTTCTCGAGAAGAGTATCGTAGTACAGTGTTGAGTATTAGACCAATACTAATGTCAATAGTGAATCACCAAAGTACTTCTTGTCTGTCCACGGAACTTTTCCGCCCAGAATAATATGTATCGGTCGGAGATCAGTGAGCCCGTGAGAGTCTACCCGGCGACAAAGTGCTTCCAATAATTCAGTAGGGGTGGAGGCTGGTCCATGCACAAAAATGTGATCACCTGTAAAACACGACAACAGCAAGTCCCATCACTGAACGAACAAGGACGAATGGACTACCTGAGGAAACGCTGGACACAGCTTCATCGGCTGTAACTCGTTTGGGTGTCTTCCCTTGAACTGGCGTGGATAAAGGGCTCGCCAATGGGTAAAACACTCGCTTCATGCACGAACTCAGCCGCATTCTTGGAGAATAAAGTATAAAATAGAACGTCAAACTCTTC